AAAGCCGAATCAAAATATCCCATTATCAGAACACATTTCGCCAGCTAGGATACGGGCTTTTTCACAGGGAGGGGATCCTGTTCGGGTGAAACTCTTATGATTCGTGAAAATCTGGGTTGTCTGAGGTCACAGCGACCACAGAATACCATACAAACGAGACAGTGCAGAGAAAACGCGAAATCGAAGCGTTTAAAAGGAACTGGCTCATATCGTCCGTAGACCGTAGATAGAGGAGATTGCGTAATTCCTGAATCACTGCTGCCGTAATCCAGGTCTTTGTAGGAGCTCCCCTCCATTTACAGGGGGAGGGCAAAGAAAGCACTTTTTTTCTCGTTTTCCAAAGCGAAATAAGTCACATTTATTGAATTCTGATGGCCATTCCACCACAATTGTGGACTATCACGAATCTCCGCCACACCTCCTAGACGAAGCCATCGAAAAATTCTGCCACGCGACCGTGATTCGGTGCCTGAGTTCAGCGAGGTCGTTGATTTCTCCGCCACTGTAGACCACCCTGTTGAGCTCCTCCCGGACCCGGTAATCGAGGGGGTTTATGCCAGATGTCACACTTGGATATTCTGTCTTCTTCAGGTACTCCACACGCTTCTCGGTTTTCAAGTGAAGGCCGAGATGTTGTCTGTCCATGTGCTGGCACCCAATCCCGTAGCAGAACCGAGGTTCCCAGGACGGTACAGGCGACAACGTGAAAGCAGAATATTCTCTTGTATTCAACAGTCAGGATTCACCTCCCGTCGGTCCACGAAGACAGTGGGACAGTCTTCCCCATTCCACGAACTTCGGTCCATACCAACAATCGCGCCTTGGCGACTGCGGTGAAGATGATATCCTGGACCGTAGCGACGTTGTCGGAGCTGCTCGATGTTGGAGGTCTTCCAGATCAGAGAGTGTGCCGGTCTCCAGGTCCATGGATGACTCCATACAAGTGGGTGAAGTGAATTTTAGAGGCGTCCTTCAGTTTGGTTACCATTGCAGATGGCTTCATATTTTGGTGTACATGAAAGTGATGGACAAGAGCCTGCCTCTGCTTATCCATCTTGGGTATCTTTCTCCCTGGTACTCGCATCCACCTCTTCTCTGTGGGCCGTGTCCTGGCTGAGCGCCAATTCGCACCGCGGCACACGCCCTATCGTTTGCAAGGATCATAACTTTGATTCGGGGTGACCAGGGGCGGCGGGGCCCATGTTATTTCATTTTGTCTTGCCGCGCTCTCAATATGGACATGAAAATGGTTCATGCAGCTGTTCTCAGGTTTCGAAAAGAAATGAGGTAATGCAAGACAGAGAGGGTACCTCCTGCCGGGGAAATTTTCGGAAACTACGACCCTCCCAACGACCAAGTGTCGCCAACCTGCTGGGGATTCGTTAGAGTAACTGCCTTGGAGGCAGAGAAGAGAGCTGCTGCCTCGCACCCCCGAGTCACCTTGGTCCATAGAAGTGTGTATCAGGGTCACAAAGCACTATCTCGATTACAGTAGGAGTTACGAGGTGAAGTTATGATGCTAAAGGCCCACCTGCAAGTTCGCCTGTGAACTTCCCGAGCTTATCTTCCGCAGAAGAAGGGTTGCTATACGTGCGACGTAAACCGATCCGTAGCCTTCACCAGCCAAATAAAGTCGGTTTGTGAGTCGTTCCGGGAAAGCGGTGAAGAAGTCGCTGAGAGCTGATTCAAGTGATTCCACCACCTTAAACAGAATTATTGCCCTTGGCCCTGTTTTGCTGAATTTGTAAATTGCTTTGCAGGCTAACCTTATCGTCGTCATTTATGAGGCCCCAGCCCGGCTCTGGTGAAAAACCAACACTTGGTGGATCAATGATGAGTAGGTTAGCTATCTGAAATGTAATACCATAGCAAACAATCGAAAAACAGCAAAGAATCAAAAAACAGCGACCTTAACCTTCACCTTCGTCGGGATCGGACCATACGCCCACTCGCCTTTACTGGGGATATCTCATACTTGCGCGGTTACACGACCTTGCCTTCATATTACAATGAGAATTTAGCATGTGTTACGCATGTTCCAATATGCTGCCCACTCCTATGTGAAATTACTTGCTTGGTCCTGGTGCGAATGCCGCAGACGTGATCCCCCATAACGCGGATGTAACGCCCCACCCCCTGATGTGATGGTTGAGTTATTTGACCTTTTGATATTTCAGGCTTGATATTTTACGATTCGGCCCCTTAGCCAGCTCTGATCACTAGAGACAGCTTCTTGCAGTATGCCTTGGTGTGGATTTGAGGGCGAACCGGTAACACATTCACCTCCAAGGACGGGTCCTCACGCGTGGCTGCTAAAGCGAATGGTTCTACCAACTGCAGTACTCATGCACGTTCGTAATAAGTGCACGAGGAAGGGACTGTTGGCTAAGGGATGCCTGAGGGCCCCGGGGGGGAGGGGGAGGGGGGCGCCGTCCTTCCTACGTTCATCCGTGCTAACCCCGTAGGGTGCAAGCGTCGATACGCATGCAAGGACCAGTAAGAAACTCGTAACTTGGCGAATACGAGAGCAATCAGAAGTGACAAGGCGTTAAGAGTAGGCGCATTCGGCTATGACTAGGGTTGGGTGGTTGGCGGTTGCGCCGACGGAGTATAGAAACGGCATCACCTTTCCGTTCTCCTGCTTCTTGGGTTACGTGACATCTCGAACTTCTGTGCATGGTCCTGTTACGAAAACCCTGTGACGCAGACAGATAGAGGCCAGCGGCTGCCAAAGCATCGAAACGTGGAAGAATCCGTATGGCGAGCCAGAAAACGGGATTTCTCATGGGGAGAGCGCTCCGGGGTGGATGAGCTACTTATAATCGGTGAAAAGCTGGAACGTGCGAAGTCACAACGGCCATAGAGTGCCATGCGCACGAGAGAGTGCAGAGAAAAAGAGAAGATCGACGCGTTCAAAGGGATTGAGTTCAAGTTGTCCGTAGACCCTGCTTCTTGGGCCAGAGAAAGTGGCACGCTGCTGCAGCTGCGGACTCATTCTCCCCACGCCCTGTTAGGAACAAGAATCACGGGGTATACAGTTGTCTTTGAAGGAATCTTTGTGCAAAACTGCTAGTCTTGAAAGCAGTGGAGATGAGGATTTTGTACATTCAAGGAGGAAGAAGCTAAGGTATAGTTGATCCATGTCAAAAGGCGGTATTTCTAGATGTACAACGTGAGTCCGGAATTTGCCAAGAGGTCACCAAAAAGCACTCCTAGAATTGTTAGCGTCGATATCTCTACCGAAAATTGGACGAGTGAAATTGCGGATGGGTCAGGCCAAGTACCATCGGCTATCTGCCAACAAGCACACGTGACACTAATACCTGTAGGGTAGGTAGAAAATGGTAAGCTCGACCTCGTTAATGACTTGTCTCGCACCTATGATTCGAGGCGTAACGGTGTGCGACGAACGAGGTGCGAAGCGACCTTATTAAGCCGAGGCACGTCGCACTAACTGCGGTTCGAATAAAACCGAATAAATCCTTACATTCTATAAACCACTAACTCTGTGTGTCGGTTTGTCGGTATGTATGTATGTATGTATGTCCGTCCGCAAAATGCTTCACGGGTTCAAACACGTCAGTGTAGGAGAGTGTACGACCGCTAGCCGGTGGCGACACAGTCTGGGTGTGCAGATGTATCAATCCAATGTTTTGGTTGTGATAACACCCTGCACTATATAAGAGAACCATGTAGTGCACTCCAAACCATTGCACGAGCTGCTCGCGTGGCAGGTGGACGTGAGCACGTGCAGCGGCCGGGATGGGGAGTGGGTGGGGCAAGTGGGAGTGGGGAGGGTACACGTCCTCATCATTGCGGACCGGTGGGGCGTGTCAGCCAGAAGGAGTGCGCACACTGTTGAAGCCGTTCTCAGCCTTTTTTGTTGCAACGCGTATGCGACAAAAAGTGGTAGAAAACGAGTAATACGAAGGATATAATACAGTAATGCACTTGTTCGCTTCAAAAACTGGTGCAGAACGACTTTGCCAAACCGCACCAAATGCAGCCGCACTGCCACGCCCCACCGGTCCGCAATGATGAGGACTGTAAGATGTCATAATGTGGGTGGGTGGGATTAGTGAGGGAGAGTACGGGAGGGGAAGCATAGAGTGCGTTTAGTAGAAACTCATCACGAGTGTGATAATAAAAGCGCCAATCAAAGCGATAAGGTGAATAGAGGAAGGATCAACCGCAAGCAGAGTCGCGAATAAAATCCATGTTTTAGTATCACTTTGAGGCAATGTGTGATTGTTTACAATCTCACTATATAAAAGAATCATGTAGTGCACTCGTATGAACATATTGGTCAAAGATTATTGACTATCTGTATAAAAGAAAAGCCGGTGAGGAGAAGGATAAGTGCAACGGAGCCGGGCCCGCTCAGCAAATCCATTCTTTACCTCAGAAGAAGGCGTGCAGGCATCAGCCGGCAAAGCCGGCTGGTACAAATAATATCCGAATCAAAAAAAAATGGTTTTTTTAAAAAATCATATAGTTTTGTTTGTAACAACTGGGACATCTATCACAACACATTCTATCTGCAGTAGGACTCTGTTTGGGCACTTGATACTCCCTGCTGATAAAGCTCATTGAATCTGAAATAATAATAGTCTCGTTAAGAGATAAACGAAGAAAGTGATTTGAGGAGGGTCCTACTGCGCCATTTCGTCAGATATTTTCTCTTTCCTCTCCATGTACTCTTTTCGTAATGTCCTAGCGTTCGTTCCTAAATTATAATTTAGGCCAGAGGGTCATTACCTGAACTAACCCGCCCAAGGCAGGCAGTGAGATTCAGCGATATGCAAGGATGCACTTAGTAAGCGTATGGGTTTCAACGAGACCTTCTTAAAGCTTTTCGTGCCCATGATTCTTGGAATGAATGCGAGTTTCGCTAGTTGATTATTGGTTAATTAAAGCGCTAAACGTTATACCGCATTCCATTCACTGTCTGACAGGTACGCGCAGCCTATGCGTACTACTTTTTTCGTAAGCCTTCACCTTAATCTTTTTTTTTTCTTTTTCGTAAGCCTTAACCTTGATCTGTTGGGAGTTTTCACTCAATTTGTGCCGATTTTGGTAGCTCATGCGTGCCTCTTCTGACGTGCCTCGACTTAATGAGGTCGCTTCGCACCTCGCTAATTATGCCTCGAATCATAGGTGCGACAAGTCATTAACGAGGTCGAGCGTACCAATTTCTACTGACCCTCCGGAAGAACACTCAGTTTCATCGCTTCGAGTTTTGAGAGGCGGGCCGTTCCATAGCGTTTGGTAAAGACTTAATGCTAGGAGGGCAACTTTTCTTGAAAAGGAAGCAGTACAGGGCTCCAGAACGCGATTCGGTGGAAGTTTAATCAGGTTAGCATTCACAGATACCTTTATATATGAATGCACACCTTTTCCAGGTAAGCTAGAGCTATGTAAGAGCCAAAAAATGGTTTTCTTGGCGCTGTTCGGCTTCAAAGGCAGGTTGCCCTTTTGCTAGTGTCCTTTGCCAGATCGTATCAGCTGACTGGTATCCTTGCGGAGCTGCGAAATGGTACTAGTGAGCCACTTTGGTTACAGGAATTCACAGGACCTAAGAAGATGGCTTGTACAGGGCCCGCTAAATACCATCTGGTGCCCCTCCTCATCAAGCCAATCCGTTTCCCTCTTCCGGAAACCATGTTCGGCTCTCCACCAGGTCTTCACTCCTTTCAGAATCGATTCCTTCATTCGCCCAGGGACTTTTTGGCAAATAAATATTTCTTTTCACTAACTTTCGCTACTGGGCGAACATATCCCTACTGACCCATATAGAATTTCCTTTCAACCAGTAGCCCTCTTTGTTCATCACTGTCAGCTGTGCTCATACACTTAATATCAAAGCAATTGTCAGGTCGTGATCAGCGGGGGAGACGGCCAGGAGTCACCGCCGCGCTTGAAACTAGGTCACCGCGCGCGGCGACCTGTCCGCGTGGCGCGGCGGTGAGTCCTGACCTGGCATTTTGCCAAGTTCCGATCAATACGACCCTATCGCCATTTTCTTGTAGCGTTCTCTCTTTTCCTCATCTTCCATCTGCCAAGAACATGTCCAGACAGGTAGACATGTTCAAACATGCAAACATGTTAAAGCATGTAATCGCCGCGCGCGTTGACCCACTTCCCAGCGCGGCGACCTAGTTTCGGGCGCGGCGGTGAGTCCTGACACACACCCTGATCAGTTCTGAATTGCAGCGTTTCCATCATTGGTTGTTTCCGTCCTAAATCAATCTCTACGCGATCGCCACTGGTAGCAAGGGAGTCGAACGCGGACTCGAATCCGCGCTGCTCATGCCGCCTCCGACGGTCCGTAATGATGTGGACTGTACCTTATTCCATGAGAAAACATTTTCAGATAGTGTTTGTGCGTCCGCGTTGGGACGAAATGGGCCGATTTCTTCTAGAAGGCCCGTCACCGAACTGCACGATGGACCACCGTTGATGAACAGAATCAGCGGATCGTTGCTCGGATCGTTCTGAGACTCGACGTACCTGAATAGAAAGGGGTTAACATTTGTCAGAAACCAAAAAAAACTCGGGTTTTTTGGGAGCGGGAGGGGTAGGCGTACTTGAGGCATAAGGCATGATAATTTGGTACAGCTTTAAAAATAATAGCAGGGATTATATAGTGAAATAGCGAAGTTAGCGAAGCGAAGAGAAGGTTGAAAAACGACGAAATAGCGAAGGTAAACGGCTTAAAGCTGAGAAAAAACCATTGCTGTGCACGGCGTTGGACGAACATTTCTGCACGAGTTCCCGTTGGCATCGTGCCAACCATCGCCTTGATAGATGGCTTCTGCACGTAGTATTCAGTCACAAGTACAAACCGTGGATGGTGTTAAATGCATGCTGTCAGTAGGTCCTGGCCCCCTCGGTCCTGTGGCTCCCTCTCGGCCATCTCCTTCTTTCCGGCTTTTACTGTAGGTTCAATGAGAAGGATTAGATACGTCTGTCTGGCAGATACCCTGAAACCCTCAAAGTCATCAAATAGAGACAATCGCCCTATGTATAATTTGCTTCGTCTGTTCGTTTGTTTGTTTTTCCGTTTGTTCAATTGTTTATTCGTTCGTTAGTTTGTCCAGAAATTCGTCGTTCTAGCCAAACAACGAACTTGGAGAGAGGCGGGTATCAAGGTCGGAGGTAGGCGCATGGACAAGATTTAAAGAGCAACCGTAACCCATGGTATGCTCCGCCCACAGTGGGCGGGGCATGAGTCGAAAGCTCATTCGTGAACTTCAATATGTTTTCGAAATGCATCCGTTGACCTAAGTCGAAGCATATTTTGGTTATCATCGATCATTTGGTTCGAGTTTGCGCCACACATTACACTTGTGCGCAGAGGTGGTGGGAAGGTGGAACTTGATTTTATGATATCTGTCTATGCGAGCAGATGCTTGTTCAGGACTTGGAAAGGTAGGTACGCAAGCGTCTGTCTGAGATGTATTATTTAGTTATCTACGTACTTAGCAGTTCATGCGAACTATCATGTTGCCATTCAATTGTCTTGATATTTTGTAATCTTTTTTACAACCGGGTCCTCTGCAGCTTTCCTTCCGTTCCACCAAACTTAGCGATGATATTTCTGTGCTGTTTGGTGCTCACCGATTCACACACCCCCCCTTCCCCAGGGGTCAAGTGCGACCCGCGATAGGTTTCGCACAACGATACCTTATCCTGACCGCAAGACGTCTTTTGGGGGGGGGGAGGTACATTATCAGCTGCGCTGCTATTGAGGAACGTAGATGTGCCACGTTGAGGATACATCTTATGTTGCGTTTTCCCCACTACCTGCAGTCTGAATGTTCCCTGTCTGAGAAAGATTTTTGATGGGTTTCAGATGGGTTAATGACGAAGGCACGCGAGGTTTTATGCCTCAGATAAGCCACACATATAAGTGTTTGTTCACACGCTTTCCTCTGTAAACTCAAAACATGTTCACAAAACTGTTCGCAATATTCGCTTTTTTTCCAAAAACCGCCACAGGTTTTTCGAAAAACCACTAGTTTGGAATATATCTGGGATGGATTTTTGATGCAGGAACTTCTGAGCCATCAGGTGCTCGACTCCTTCTATGCCATTGTAGGAGTGCTCATTAGTAACCCTCAATATGCCTTCAAATCACATATTCCCATTGAACTGTGTGAAATCATAGCTTCATTGTCATCGATCGGTTTCTTAACAGCGTGCATTACGGTCTCACGTGGGCTGGCAGAAAGGTGTACTTCTGAGGATAAGTGATTTCTCCATGTTTTCCTAGGAAAGGTTATTCTAGTACATTGTAGTTTTTCTCACATTCGGATCTCCTGCTGCACTGCTTCCGCCCCATCAAACGTAGCGATGACACTTTTCCGCAGTTTGTTCTCACCGATCATGCGTTTACGAATCCCCCTCCTCATCGGCAGTGGGCGAACCTCTTGGCGGGTTTTGTGCAACGAAGCTGTACTCTAACTGCACCTTGACAAGGCGCTATAAAGGTTCACTTAGTTGGAAACAAGGTACAGCATGGTTGTTTGGAACACATAGGGGGGATCGTACTCCTTCTCTAGGGGGGGGGAGGTGGTCGTACTTGATCGTTGGGAGAGAGAGAGGGCGTTTGTGCCTTTGAGAAAAATTTGTCGCGTTGGTTACCCGGTTGTTGACTTGCGTGTTTTTCCTGTTTTATGTGCATTATGTACCACCCCGCCCCTCCCGCTCGACGGAGACGGAAAATTTTTGGGTGAAATACTGCTTGGTTCGGGAAAGGGAGGGGGGGTCCTACTGAGACCCTCATTTATGGGAGGAGGGGGGTCGTACCTACACCACCACCTCACACATCACCATGCTGTACCCTAGTTGGAAAAGGCGCCACGCAACACAATGCACTTTCGTGCTGGGCGCATCGACCCTGCACGTCTTGCCGATTTATCGTGCCACTTGCCTCCAAAGCTCAATCAAGATTGTTCGAGTTCTGCACTCAACCAACTATGAATCGCGCCGGCGCCCTCCCACCCCCCCCCCCCGTTGGATGCTCTCTCGCTGCTTTTGCGCGGTCTCTCGCCTCAAATCCCTGTCGATTTTTTGCCCATTCGTTTGACATAAAGTCCCTTGTTTGGGGCGTTTTCTACGGTCTGCCTGCCTTTCGCTTCACGAACAAGTCGATGAACACGTACCCCTCCCGAATCTAGGCCCCGTCAGCCACGAAATTCTCGGTACCATAGGATGTTTGCCCTCGAAAGGACAGCGAATTTGCAGAGCGATCAGTTGGCCCTGGTACGTTGAAATGAAAATCATACGAGTTCTAAAGAAGTGCCTATCGTTGCTTCTAGCGGCATATCTTCCGAGGTATCAGACATGGTCGACTATCACAGCTTGATTAGAAGGATGATTCTGATAGTGATGAGTAACGATCCGCCCTCAGTCTCGGTATGGTTCATTCTATCTTTGCCGTCTTGCCGTCGTCAACATGCAGTTCGTCTACATTCTTGCAGTTTTGATGGTCGCCAATGCGTTCAATCGGAACCAGGAAAGCACAGTGAAAACACCAGCACCACCACCGCCGCCACCACCGCCACCACCCGCCGCCACCACCGCCACACCGCCCCCGCCGCCACACCGCCACCGCCGCCAACACCGCCGCCGCCACGCCGCACCGCCGCCGCCACCGCCGCCACCGCCACCACCACCGCCACCGCCGCCACCACCGCCGCCACCACCGCCACAGCAACTTCCAGGTTTGTTTCCATGTTTATCGTTGTCCTGTGATGCTGCAGTTCCTATGTTCTAGAAGACTTTCTGGATATATTCGCTGAACGCTTTTTCGGAGAAAATCCCTGGAAAGTTCGATATCAGAAGGTACGCCCATTCTACAAGCAAGTGCAATTCGGGGGTGCCGGGCAGCGCAAGT